ATGTTACAAAAAAATTATAGTTTCCCCTGTAAGTTTGCATTTATTCTGGAGAAAGAAATATCTCAGCTTGATGCATTCTACTCCTCTCAAGTATGCAGTGTAATTACATTGTAGAAAAGAGCTAACTATGTCACTAAATATGCCCTGAAACTGGGTCTAACCCCACTGATAATAAAGATTTTGGGGAGAAAAGAAAAAGAAAAGGGAAGTTGGGCCCTTGTTTCTAGTTGGCTCTTACTTAAAACTAAAATTCTATATATTGTAAAATAAGACAGGCAGGACTTATCATAGTTTCATGCTATCAATTTTCCCCCTGAAGCAAAAGAAAATATTTGCAGTTGTACCTAAAAATTTGATCACGGAAGGTTTTTGGAAAACCAGTTTTGTGTGTTTGGAGCTTTCAAAGAAAAACTGGACTTGAGAGTTTTTCATGGCTGTTTTAAAACTATTGGAGAGTTACCAACTTTGACTATCAGTGCAAATCTGAGGCAGGAAGTACTCGAGAAATCCTAAACTCATTCTTTTCCTCTGCAAGATTTTCTGTATTGCATATGTAAGGAATGTGTTTAAGGGTTGTTTTGTTTTGCTTTTGAAGGATCTGGACATTCCTCTTTCTTTGCCTGCTCCCTACTCCTTGTGTTCAAGTGATTATTCTCCTGATGGCACAGTCATCTGGACTCCAGCTAGGCTCAGCCAGGGTGGCAGTCCAGGATGCAGAGGATGAAGCTTCTGCCTGAGATGAGTGGCACTTGGTGGATTCCTCCATGCACTTGACCCTTTCCCCACACAAAGCTCTGAACATCATCTGTGTGTGCTGCTAGCCAGGGAGATCCTGTGAGGGTCCTCTATTCTGAGCCACTGTCTTTAAGACCTCCTGTGTACCACATGGCTAAAGAAGGAAATGCAATAGTGATGTGAGAGCAGCAAGTCAGAAACTTCACATGGGATTTCAGAAGCCTATAGACTAGGGTGTGCCTGGTTCATGAGAGATAAAAGTCTCACAGACTTTCCTACCCTGGCAGGCTTCCAAAGGCAATTCTCAGACCTCAGCCTCCTACGTAGCTAGAATTACAGGCATGAGCCACAGGCAGGTGATTCCTTAAATTTTACAAAGAAGACTAATGTCTTCCAAATGTTACCTATCAATACGCCAACCAAGGACTACGGGTTTTTTTGTTTGTTGGTTTGTCTGCCTGGGTTTTGTTTATAGCTTTCTTCTTTCAAATGGTATATTTTCCAAGAGCCTCCTCAATGCCCTAAAATGTATGCAGCTTTATCATGAAACTTACTTGGAATCTTATAATTCAAGAGCAACAGACTTGTTTTCTGAGTACTTAAAGTTGGCTCACGACTAATCAAGTATCATTTTGTCATGAAACTAATTAAATACATTTGGACCTTTGTTATTCTCTAAAATTTGCTGATTATTCTGCACAGCCTTTCAAACAACAAATTTGCTTAGATAAATTGTTTTTATTTTTTAATCAATCATGTCTATAATTTAAATACTGTAATATGTCAATAAGATCTCTGATTTTTTCTGAACCAAAAGAAATGTTTCCTATTAAAGTTGCTTTTTCTTTTTCTTCCTTTTATTTTGCCCAAGAAAAATATTAGTCAAAAGAAAAAATCAAGAAAATGTGAGAAGTTGCTAGAAGTTGCTAGAAATTACAGCTACAGGTCAACTGCTGGGTTTCATGGGACTGAACTTAATGCATCTTTCCAATATAAAACCTTTAGGACATTTGTAAAATTATTCAATGGATGAAATAAACATCCAATTTCTTTTGTCAGACAAAGTAGAGAAGTTGGTTGTAATATACAGGGAACTGGAAGCAGAGAAGCCAGGGAAAGATCACAAGTTTCTCTAAAATTTTAATATAAATTTGAAGAAATGGAAAACATTTGCACTTACTTTTAAAATGCCAACTTCATGTTAGGTGCTAGCTAGACTTAGCTATTATGAAGGCTAAGATCTGAGGAGCACAGTTCAAAGCCAGCACAAGCAGAAAGGTCCATAAAACTCTATTTCCAAGTAACAACTAAAAAGTGAGAAATGAATCTGTGGCTCAAGTGGTTAGAATGCCAAAAGGCTAAGGGATATTACCCAGGTCCTACACACACACACACACACACACACACACACACACAAACACACACACACACATGCACACACACACCAAATTCATGTTGATTTTTTGTAAGAAAATTGAAGCTGTATTTAATATTACACTGTTTGAATAAATGCTTTAGCCTATTTTGCATTTCTGAATAATTCTAATATTTTAATTCTTCTAAATACCGTGAAGTTCTTCCCAGAGGAAACAACAACAACAACAAATGAATGTCAGCAAATACCTCTAAGGTAAAATAATATCACAATTTTTATTACCTGTAGAATTCTACTTGTTTCAACTACAAGGATTCTTTCTCTATTAGAATTATCTTTAATAGTTGACTTTAAATTATAACACAAGCCAAGGACAGAAGAGCAGATTTTATTAATTCCATCCAGACTTACCATATGAATAGAAGCAGCAAGCACTTTTGTTAAAATGCTTGTGAATTACATTTCGAAAGGTAAGTACAAAAGAGGCAAAAAGTAATATGGAAATAATCCAGCTGTTTTCTCCTCAATAGTGGGGCATACTAGTGTTTCTCTGAACTGGATTAACCCTGTCAGAAAGTCCTCACGTGTTACAACACAATTGCATATTACTTCCACCCGTTCTGAATCTGAGTTTCAACACAGCATCTATTTCTCTCTTTAGCTTCCAGGGGTGTCACTAATGCCTGTCATTTCAGAAGCTCTGTAATAGTTTAGACAACTGCACAGCACTGTCAAAAGTTTACCTCATAATAGTCCATATGAACTGCCCAGATAGCCAAAGCAGCTGATCTTTACCTTCCCTACACCCTGATCTGATTACTGGAATATCAGTTTAGAATCCCTAATGGGTCTAGCTTCTTAAAAAATGTTCCAAAAGTTGATGGCTTAGGCTAGCTTGAAAGTAACAAGATCCAGATGCCTCTGGTCCACACAGAATTAAACTATATAGGACCCCAAAAGAGATTTTTGTAGAACTTTCTCTTTATTTTTCAGGCTGACTTCTTTTTCTTTGTCGAACTTTGCTCTCCCAATCTCTGTCTCTGTCTCTTCTGTCTTCTTCTCTCCCCCCCCTCTCTCTCATACACACATACACACACATACACACACACACACACACACACACACTTTCTACAAGGGTAGCTCATCTGGCCCTCAGAGTCTTTCATACAATATCCACAGCATGCATTACTTCCTGCCAGTCATCAGTTAAGAGAAATCCCAAGCAGAGAGAAAAAAAAAAGCTAAAACAAACAAATGATAGTTCATTCATTTCAATCTAAAGTTTCTTTGCTGAGAATATGTAATAATAGAAACCAAGGACCAAAACAAAACCCAATTTAAAAAAAATGGAAATATGTAGCCAAATGAGTTAAAGGGATGGAATGTTGGGTGTTTTTCAGGCAATCCTTGAGCTTATTGTTTTTGTGACTTTAGAGGGTGAGAAATGACTGTGACTTCCCCTTTGGAAAGCTGTGTTCCTTTGGCCAGTGCCTTCAGGAAAGGCAATCCCCCAAAGAGTTAAAACTCAGGACACCAACCAAGCAGGAGGGCTGGTCTATTTAAGCAGCAGCAGCCACACAAACTAAATGCTCACAAAGGCAAAAAGCCTGCAAGTCGACCTTGGAGGGGCAGGGTAGATCATAGGAACAGTCAAAGAAAAGAAAAAGAACTAAACCAAACCAAAACAACAACAATCTCTAATGCAATATTGAAAGTTGGCTGTCAGAAGTAGGCATTGTTTGATGAGAAAGCATAAATGAGAGATAACTATAGCATGCATTACCAAACCTAACACACCATAAGTCCTGGTGACTGCACAGACCCTCAGCATGACTCATTTACTCTTGTATATTTATTTATTAAGAAGATGGTGGTGTCTGGTGAATGTCATACAAACTAATAGCACCCATGTACTCAACATAGTTACTCTCAACATTTTCCCTTAAATCAAATCGGATTTACTTGACAAATCCAGGCAGAGATTTCACACTTGAACCGTATCTCAATTGCAAGAGAAAGTTCAGGATTGTCACTGCTCATTGCTTACTGAAGAGGACTTGTTTCTGGTTCCCTGATGATCATTTAAGCGCACTCACACAAAGCCCAAAGTATTTAACCAATTCAAGTCCAATTATGATCAATTACATCGCCTGCCTTTTTTTTTTCAAGACCCAAGGCCTTCTGATACCAGCTACCACAGACAAACAGGGGCTAAAAAGTAAACAACGGTTGTAAAGCTGCCAGAACAATTTCATAGCATTCTAGTCATGCTTAACATAACCTGAAGATAACCTAAAAATAAATAAATAAATAAAAACACACCCAAACAAACTCTAAAAGACTTTTTTGATCAGTGCCCCAGAGGTCCCTACACCCTGCTTTCATTGGACTCCTAGCAAGGAAAAGTTTGTCCAGCCCCACCCTGGCTGGCATGTCCTATGATGGGAAAAACCCTGAGGAGAGCCACAGACAAAGAGCAGCTCACCAGAAAAGCCCCTCAAATGATATTCTCGCTCCTTGTAATCACTGCTAGGATCCCCTTTCTTTGAAAACTAAAAATAAAATAAACCAAAACCAAACCCTCCTCCTCTGCAAAGGACTTGAGGGCTCTATCAGGCCCATTGATCCTACCAAATAACAACAAAAGAACTGGAGTGAAACTATTATCAGTCCTCAAAGAGAAAGCTTCAATGAGGGGCTGGCTGCTTGCTTCTCACATCTTCCTCTGCCTCATTAACTCCAATGGTATGTTACTAATTTCGAAGGAGCAGGAAGAGGTTGCTGGGGTTGAGGGTGGAAGAATCCCTCTCATGCCTGTCTGCTTCCCATCCCAGTGTAGACAGACAGCACACTGACTGCCAGACACGCCGGTTGGTCGGTCAAGCCATACCTTGGTTTGGAGATAATGAGGGTAGTAGTAGGTGTACTGGGGGTACATTTGTGGCTGGTCCAGGCGTTTGCCCATGAAGCTGGAATCTTTTATCTCCGAGGGAGGGAACGGGATGACAGTGTAGAGTGCCCCAGGCCGAGCGTCCTCTTAATCCACTACTCGTGACAGTCCCAGTCGGAGTGACGGATGAGGCTACTTCCAACACGGCAAGAATTTGAAGAAACAAACCAAACAAAAACACCCCGCAAAGGGAAAAGAAGAGAACGGACGCACAGTGAGGTCTGTAGAAAACCCCGGGTCACCAGCACCAGCTTCCTCCCGGCTGCCTGCCCGGTCCACTCCGATGAAGCGGTTTGCTCTCTAACCAGACGTTTGTAGTGATGTCAATTTGCCAGCGTTTGAAAAGGGGGGAGAGGGAAGAAAGAGAAGAAAAAAAAAAAGCCAAAGTCCCTTTTAGCACAACTCGGATTCTTTGCAAATCAGCTTCCTGTCTCGTGTTTTGTCTCCTTCCCACCTTAAAGAAAAAGGAGGGAATGAAAAGAAAGGAAAGGGAACCAAAAGAAAGAAGGGAAAGGAAAAGAAAGGAAAAGGAAAGGGGGGAAACATAAACGAAAAATAAAAGAGGGGGGGGAAAGAAAAGAAAAGAAAGAAAATCTCGCACAGCTTAGTTGCTGCTGTCTCCCTCCCAGAGTGACATGATGTTCGGGGCTCGTCCTGTCTTTCCATTCACTTCCCCTCCTTCCAGCAGTGGGTGGAACCCAGGGAGTCTCTCCAGGGAGCGGCGAACGCAGGCCAGAAGGCTGCAGTATTTCCTCCAAGAGAGAGAGAAAAAAAAAACAGACAGAAAGAAAGAAAGAAAAGGCTGCCTCCACCCCGCTGCACGCAAACTTGCGATCCCTCTGCTGGCTGGCTGGCGTAGCAGAGCGGCTGTGCTGCAGCACCCGAGATCCCTGGGAACCCCAGGCTGGCCTGCCCTCCACCATCCACCCCGCACCCCGGCTGCTTTTCCTTGCCTTGCCAAGTTGCCAGGTAAGCCACATTCTAAACACCAAACAGCCAAGACCCTGGAAGGGAAAAGAAGAAGAAGAGGACACTGGAGGAAAGGAGCGGGGCGGGAGGGGGGAGAAAGAGAAATAATAATATAACATGATCATCATAATAATAATTAATAATATAACAAAGACAGGAACTAACCTTGCTGGGTGGAGGGGAGGCTGGGGGGGGGGGGGGGGGGGGGGGGGGGGGGGGGGGGGGAAGTGTCCAGGGTGCTTTTAAAAGCTATGGGACGCAGGACAACCAGATGCATTCCAGACCTGATGGAGAAACTAACCTTTTGCTTTCCGGAGGCTGCTAGGAGTATGTTATTTTATTTCTGTTACCCTCTTACTCCGGGAAGGCTACTACCACCGAGCCAAGTACCGTGGACTGGACTGATCAACTTAGTAGATAGTAGAAAGCACCTTGACATCAATTTGGTTTAAAAAAAAATGATGTGACCCCTAAGGTTGATGAGCTTCTTTTTGAATAAAATTACTGCTCTGCCCATTGTCTTGTGTTATGATTACTTAGATAATGATGTTTTAATGGCTGTACTAATAACATCTCCCCCCCCAAAAAAAAAGGAACCAAAAAAATCATAATTACTTGGCAGAGTTCTCCCCTACCAATAATATTAACAACAATAATAATAATCTGGCCTGTCGATCAGCTGGTACATTCTAATACAAATTCTTTCAGAGAAAATCTATTTCCTTAAAGGGTCCCTTTTTCAAGGCGGCGGCAGCAGTGAGGCTAAAATTAGCCGAGCCAGCTGTGTTTTGCAGCCAATGCTCACGCATGCCCGGAGCTTGGGCAGGCACTCCGCAGCCCAGCCCGCACAGCCCGCACAGACAGCCAGTGAGCGCCTCTTTACTTTGTCAAGGCGGCTCTGTTCTCTAGAGTTGCGTCTCCGATAAAAGGTTCCTGGGACAGACCCAGGAAGGAACATTGGGGCTCAGTGCACACACAGGGTGTTCACCCACATACACACCCCGCCAGCCCGCTGGAGGCAGCTGGCTTGGACTGAGGAAAACCGATTTTTTTTTGGGGGGGGGGGAACCTGTGTATGAGCCTGTGTGTTCCTTGGAGAAAAATAAGGGTGGTGGGTAAATAAGTTGTATGTTTTACTTTTGACAAGAATAACCATCCGGAGGAAGGAAACAAAGAAGGAAGACGGAGGGGAGGGGAAAAGGAGGGAGACAGAGAGAGGAGAGTGGGAAGGCTGGTGCCATGGAGAACATTCGGTTCACTTCACCGAAGTTGGAAGTGTGCTTTTTCAGGCCTCAGTGGACCCATCTATACAATGGAAATGCTTGGCTGGGCGCCAGAAGCTTACACCTGTATTCCCAGCTGTTCAGTAGGTTGAGACCTGAGGACTGAAGTTTGAAGTCAACCCCCCTTCCCCCCTTGAATCTGTCCCTCTCCTTCTGTCCCCAGTCACAGAGAGCTACTACAAGATCTGAATGAACGTTCCATTGCCTCAGTGCTCTCTAGTTCCAGATCCACTTCTGGTTCCTTCATGGGCATCCATCCTTCCAGGCTCCGCCTGGGCACCCTTTCTGGAGTAGCTTTCCTTAATCATGTGTGCTGTGGTAGTTAATAGATTGTTTACCTTACTGTGTCTGCCCCATTGATTGCTTCTTTCTTCCCTGATGTTCTAAATTCTAAGAGAGCAGACCACTTCATTTTTGTTCACTTTCCTTTCTCCAAAAGGACTAGTGCAAGTCGGATTCAAAATGAATATTCCACAAATATGTGAAGAACAAAATATATTAAGGCTGATCAGTCATTATATCCCAACTCAGATCTTTGCTATGGGTCAGGAGGTAAGCTGAGTACCAGGGACAGAGCTATACAAGGATCACAGACCTTTCCTTCTAGTGGGCAGAGAGGAATCAGCAAAGGAATAGATACATAGAATAACATCAAACATTCGGTGCTGTAAGGAAATATAAGGCACAGTAAAGAAAAACAGAGTCTTAGGCATTCTATTTTTTTAAAGGTGGCCAAAGCAGGCACAGGTGGCTTACCCCTTTAAACTTATTTACTTATGAAGCTGAAATTGAGGATCCTGGTTCGAAGCCAGCCCTGATAGAAAACCCTGTGAAACTCTTAAATGTAAAAGCCTAGTGAGAACAGAAGGCCCTGGATTCAAGCCCCATAGTAGAATGCACTGATATATACAGTGTGTGTGTGTGTGTGTGTGTGTGTGTGTGTGTGTGTCTTTCTCTCTGTCTCTGTCTCTCTCTGTCTCTCTGTCTCTGTCTCTCCCTGTCTCTCTGTCTCTCTCTCTCTGTCTCTGTCTCTCTGTCTCCCTCCCTCTCTCTCTCTCTCTCTCTCTCTCTCTCTCTCTCTCTCTCTCTCTCACACACACACACACACACACACACAAAGCCAGGCATATGTTCTCGAAAAATTGCCTTGAGGTTGGAGAGAGAGTATGAGCTGAGTCCTAGATTGGGGGTATTGAAATAATGGAGTGCTTATAGGTAAAGCCTTGGCTTCCAACCAGCCCACCTGGGCTTCAGTTCATCCTCTGCTGCATTCATCTGTCCCTGTCTATTCATCCCTCCAATATCAGTGTACAATACACTTAGGGAAAAAGCCAGTAGTTATAGGGAACGCCAGTAGAAAAAGCCTTCTTTGAAAATCTGTGGTAGTTTGGGCCCATAGACTAAAATAAACCCAATGAAGGATAAAGACCATAAGATGAGCCTGGGAAGGAGTTGGGGAGGGACTCTGGCACAGATCACACAGGCTGGGTAACAATTTGATGTGGAAAGGTAAACAAGGACTCCATCTAATTACTCTGACCTGAGATACAGACAACCAACCCATAAAAGGCTGGTGTCCTAAATGTATTGTTGAGCTCCTCTAAAGGCTAACACCTGCCATGGACTTCAGTATTTTTATAGGAGTAACTGGCCTGAATATCCTTGAAGGAAAAAAAAAACTTTCTTATTTACAAATGAAAGGCCAAATAAATAACTGCAGCCAAAGCTCTAGCCCACTTACATGTAAAGTTCTCAGCGTGTGTTGAAGCTATCAGCAATTTCTACACAAATTGCCACTTTCCAAGTTTCTATTCTGTTCCATTGGATTATTGTAATGTTCTGGGCATCAATTGTCATTAGCCTAAGAATACTCATTGCCCATTTAAAGCCTTTCTTAAGTAACACAAAGTGTGTTTACCACTTGTAAGAATTGTAAAACCTGTGTTCTTACTTAGTTCATTTTATTCTATCCTATTCTCTCTTTTCAGCAGCACTAGTAGCTGTGGAAATTCAGAAGGCAAGATGCTCATGTCAGAAATCATTTCTCTATCATTTCTGCTCTGTTGGAGCAGTAGTATTTTCCATTTAAATGATCAAGCTAAGGTAGGAGGTGACTGGTTTAAGGCACTCACCAAATCAGAAGACAGCTGGGCCCCATTTGTCAACTAAGGAATGAATTTCTTACAGACTTTGGAGCAGCAAATGGCATCCAAGGCATGGGCGCCCTCAGCTTACGTGATGCCAAGCCTGACCAGAAGAGACACTCACTGAAGATGTGCTCTTGATGAAGAAGACTGAGATGCCCCAGACACTATGCAGGGGAGAAGGAGAGGTGATGATACTGAAATAGAATCAGAGGGGACAAATAGAAACCTTCTTCTGGTTTGCCCTTGACCTTTCCACACAAAGGAAAGCTGTATTCTGTAGGCTGTCTTTTTTTTTTAATTATACAGTCTTAGTGAAAAGTAAAACACATGTGCCACAAACACACAAGGGAAAGCGAGAGCTCTAGTACTGTATTTTGAAAAATAAGTGTATTATTTAACCATCGGCAAGGACATTCATGACATTGAATTTTTTTTTTGGTAGGTTGTGGGGCTTGAACTCTGGGCCTGGGTGCTGTCCCTCAATTCTTCAGCTCAAGGCTAGTGGTCTACCTCTTGAGCCACAGCACCACTTGCAGTTTTCTGGTGGTTTCTTAGAGATAAGTCTTACAGACTTTCCTGCCTGAGCTGGCTTTGAATCACAATCCTCACATCTCAGCCTCTTTAGTAGTTAGGATTACAGGTGTGAGCCACTGGTGCCTGGCTTGAATAATTTTTAAAAAAGAATCTGGACATTTTCCTACTTATTTATTCAAATTTATGAAATTCCTTTTTATACAACACTTGTCAAAAGATGGATATTACATGTAAAAACTATTTTTAAAAATCTGGCAAAAGACACTTTGTTTCATGCACACTTTTCTCCTGAACACTGACTAACAATTTAGGAAACATCCTAGACAAATGAGGAGAATCTCAACAGATATAAGCATGTTTGTCTAAATTTAAAGTATATTTGAACAAAAGTAT